CCTGAGAGACCTAGCAGAGGCAGGGGCTCAGGCCCCATTCTCCTTTAGGCTGGACCTGGGACCCCGTTTCTGCACAAAGGCTTGGAGGGCGGCCAAGGCAAGCTGTGGGGCTGGCTTCCTTCTCACTCTCAGTCTTGAGATGCAAGATGAGACCATCCCGCCGGCTACGGGAGCGGGAGCAGGGGGGTTTGGGTCAGTCAGCCCTCCAGGACCTGCACCCTCACCCACCCTACAGTGCCACGAACTCAATTTCTGCGGGCTCTGTCCCTCCAGAAGGGGCAGTGACTCAACCTTTTTGGCCCAAAGGTTTCCTTTTGCTACACCCATAGGGTGGGGGGCCCAAGGGGGAGGGGCTACAAGAGTCTCCCAGGCTGGGTTTAGCTGGCTATTTGCCCCCCACCCCTTAAGTGGGTAACAGTCCTGAGAAGTGGGGAAAGGGGCGCCTGTGGTAGGCCTGGCTCTTCTCACCCCAGTCAGCAGCAGGCCCTGACTGCGGTCTTGAGGAACAAACGTCTGAAAGAACTTGCTAAAGAGCAGAGAGCCATTCCTTGTACTTGCTGCCTTAAAGTAGCTCAAGTTAAAAAGGCAAACTTTACGGTGTATACATTTTACATTTAAAATAATTACACCTTTCTCGACACAGCCATAGAGGAGGCCCTTCATGTGGGTCTAGTCTTTCTCCCCCATCTGCTCTAGCCACATGTCCCTTGGGTGCCCAACTGTGCTGCCCAGATTCAGCTCCAAGGTCAGTTCCTCAGGGGAGCACGTAGCTAGCCACCACCCCCTGCCATAGCCACCAACTGCCACAGTCCCTTCCAATCATGGGGTCTGGGTAGAACCACATGCCAAAGAGTTTTCAGTGTCCCCCCAAATCCTAAATCAGATCGCCAGGCCTTTCTTCCAAGGTGCCTCAGAGTGGCCACCACGGACCAACCTTCCAGTTAGCAACTGAAAGCATCAACCATTTGTACTGTGAAGGGACTCCCTTGGGGGCAGGGCCTATGTCTGTCCCAGTGAATGCCAGAGGTGTGACACAGGCCTCAGACAGGCTCCAGTTCTTGGGACCAGCAGGACCTGGGGAAGGGGGCATCTGGGGCTGGCAGAAGTCCTGAGGTAGTGTGGCCCCTCACCCATTAGCTGGTCTCCACCAACTCTGGAGGTAGGTGATGGGGAGGGGTTTGCGAGTCTCCACAGAGGCAGGAAGACAAAATCTGACATTAGCTTCCCAAAGCCCCAGATGGCCTCCTCCTCCTTGACCTGTGAGCACAGTCTGGCTGGGCCCCACCTTGTGGTCAGGAGCAGGCCCTTCTTGAACCCAGCAGCCCTTCCCAGAAAGTGCAGCCGGCAGCAGAAGCCAAATGTCCAGGTGCAAGCCAGATGTCCAGGTGCCGCCAAGCAGTCAGCCCACCCAAGCTCACCTGGGAGGGCTCGATCTTTGCTCTAGGGTCGAAAACCCGAAGTTGCTTGTCCTGGAAAAGAACAGAAAGGTAGAAGCAGTCAAGGACTGAGGGATGAACGAACTGAGAGGTAAGCTTCTGGCAGTTAGTGCTCCCAGGGGCCAGCCTGTCCCCCAGCACACCAGCAGGGGGCCCCCATTCTGGGCTTTCCTATCGCAAGGGGTGAGAGCTGTTGTTTCCTGCCCTCCAACCAGAAAACCTACAGCCATTGAGTGGCATGGCAGAACTGCCCCATGGGGTTTCCAAGGCCACAAGCCTTCCCAGAAGCAGACAACCTCCTCGTGCTGGTGGGTTCAAGTCCCTTGAGTCTCTGACCTTGAGGTTAGCAGCCCAATGCTTAACCCGAGGTAATACCAGGCCTCTGGTTTTTGGCCCCCGAAGGAAGAATGCCAGGACCCGGCTGCTGTTTCCTGATCGGGCTCTGCACCTTGGACTCCAAGAACCCAAGGTGGGACTTGCACCTTGGGCTCTGCACCTTGGACTCCAAGAACCCAAGGTGGGACCTCACACCCTGCAGATGAGACACTCTTCAGTGTCAGAGGAGACACAGGCTGGGCTCTTGTGACAAGAGCGAGCAGGGGCTCTTGTGACAAGATCATTCCTGTATGCCAGGACCTTCCTGTGTGACCCCCTCCTGCTGGTGCATCCCGCCCACGTGGACTGATAAGACTCCCTGAGGGTGGGGGTGGGAGGGGGGCACACAGTGTAGGAAGGAAAGAGAGTTCTTGAATCAAACACCCATGGCTCGGATTAAAAAGACCAACACCTAGGCCAATGCCTGCAGCCCTGGAGTCCTTCCGACTCTCAGCACCTCCATGTTCTACAGAGCAGAATGGCTCCATTGAGGGGGTCGCCAGGCCTTTCTTCTGTGGAGCTTGAAGTGCCAGCCTTCTGCTCAGAAGTCAAGAGCAGACCATGTAACACCCCCACCAGGAACCTTCAACACCTTGTATAGGACCTCACTTAGATGATGCTGTGTGAGCATCCCCAAGCACATGTGTGAGCACTGCGGTTATGTGTACATGGATGGACCTGTGATGTGTGAACATCATATCCAAGCTCACTGCCGTGGAGTCGGTGCCGATTCATAGCGACCCTACAGGGCAGGGTAGATCTGCCCCTGTGGGTTTCCGAGACTACAGATCTTTACAGGAGTAAAAAGCCACATCTTCTTCCCTTGGAGCAGCTGGTGGTTTCAAACTGCTGACCTTGCCTTCACTATGAGTCAAAATCGACTCATTGGCAGTGAGTTTGATTTTATGAGTTGAATGGAAAACTATTCTGTCTGTACACTTTTTACCAAAAATATAATAGAAAAACAAAACAAGAAGCAGCGCCGGGGCCAAGGTGGGGCTCCAGGTGGACCTCGGAGATGAGATAGGCTCAGATCCAGTTAAAGCACCGAGAAGTGCATGCACTGGTTGTTTTCCGGGTGCAGAGAAACATTACCAGATGGTTGTCAATGAAGAGTGCTTGAAATGGCAACAAAATACCTGAGCAAAATTAAAACCCAAAGCCCTCTGCCATCAAGAGTTGATGCTGACTCATGGAGACCCCACAGAGAATTTCTGGGGCTTTCGGAAGCGTCTCATCTTTCTCCAGAGGTGCGGCTGGGGCTGGCCCCACTGACACCCTTACCCTACAGCACCACCAGGGCTCCTTCGGTGTGTGACAGCACCAATGGCAGAGTTTATAATATAGTAAGGTGACCAGATTTAAAGTGGGACAACACTGACTGGTGGGCAGGGGCGGATTTGATTAAAAATTGATTATGGGGCACCGAGACAGGAAGTGACCAACTGATGTTGGACACATAGTGCCGAGATACAGGGCTGCCACCAATCCTCCACTAGTAAAGACACGGCCCACTGCCCTCTAGGTGCCATGTATCAGAGGCGTGCCTGTCTACAGGTCTACCAGACCGAAGCCAAAGTGCTGGCCTCCCGTCCACTCCAACTCAGGCCCCAGAAGGACAGGGAAGAGCTGCCCCTTTGGGTTCCCTAGCTTGTCAATCATTACGGAAGTAGACAGCCGCAGCTTTCTCCCATGGAACTGACTCAATGGCAGGGAGCGAAGGTCAGCGAAAAGAAGACCCTGGAGGAGATGGATGGACACAGTGGCTACGAGGACAGGCTCAAGTGCAGCAATGACCGAGAGGGTGGCATAGGGCCAGGCGCTGTTTTGTTCGGTTCTGCGCAGGGTCACTACGGGTCGGAGCTGACCTGAAAGCACCTAACAGACAGCAGTCTTTAAAGGAGCAGGTCCAGTCTTTCCTCCCAGGGGCTGCTGGGTGGGTACGAACCGCCGATCTAGTGGTTAGCAGCCGCACTGGTCAACATTCCACCAATATAGACTAAAGGATTAACCTTGACCAGAGAGGTTTGGCCTGTTTTCCTCAGGACGTAGGAGATACTTACTCCTATGCCCTTAAAATGTCCCACCTGATCAGAGTCTCTGGTCTGCCTGGAGGCCCAGTCCACTCCGGCCACCCACTGCACTAGCAGGATGACTTCCTGGTGGGGATGGTCTTGAGATTGACCTTGGGGTGGGTGGGGGTGGCTGGAGACTCAGGTCAGCCATGCAGGCATTCAACTGTCCATGGAACTGAATCCTAATGAAAAGGTGGACACAAGGCTCAAGTGAGTTTCCTTGGCTGGAAGCACCCTGTGCATGTTGTCACACTTGGCTGCCGGGGGAACCCGGGGCCAATTTGCACAACTCCACTGGAAGCTTGTCTAGATCTCATGACCGTCAGAGACCGTCCCCATGAATGCAATGGCTGTTCTGCGTCCCCGAGTCCTTCTAGTGAGTTGTCAAACCCGAGGGTAGTCTTGGGGACGGTGTGACAGTTGTCCAGGAAGGCAAAAGATCCAGATGGCGACAGGATGCTGAACAAGAAGAGCGAAAGGATGCCCTCATGACACGTAACACAGACTTATGACAACATGACAGCGAGCAGGGCAGGGTGGTGTGGTATTCTCAGAAGGACAGACAGACAAACGGACGGGGCAATGGGGCAGAAGTGAGAACCCAGAGAGAGACCCATACTGGTAGAGCAACTAACTGCAGACAAAGAAGCAGAGACCATTTAATGGAGAAAGGACGGGCTTGTCACCTCATAATGCTGAAATAATTGGGCGTCCACATACCAAAAAAAAAAAAAAATTAAACATAGGAATTGAGACACCGATCTACATCTGTCACAAGAAGTAACTCCCCACAGATCACGGATCTAAACGTGAAAATGCAGAACTGGAAAATGTCTAAGAGAAAATTTGGTTGAACTCGAATCTGGTGACGGATTTTTAAGACACAATACCAACAGCTCAATCCAGGAAACAGAAGAAAAAAGGGGATAAACTGGACTTTGTGAAAATTAAAAACTTCTGTGAAAGATACTGTTAAAAAGAAGGGGAAATAAAGCTCCAGACTGGGAGAAAATATGTGAAAACATTATCTGATAATGGACTTACTTCCAAAATACACAACCACAAGCCAAAGCTGCCAAGTCCATGTGGACTCATAGCGACCCTGTGGGATGGAATGGGGCTGCCCCAAAGGCTGGGTCTCCTGAGTCCTCTCAGGAGCTGCCACCTCTTTCTTGTGAGGAGTGGTGAGGGCTCCACATGACTGGGAGCAGCCAAGTGCTTTAACCACTATGCACACCACTAGGCCTCCTTAGACACACAAAGAGGGCTTAAAACTCAACCATTAGAAGGTAAACAGCCCAGTTAAATGGGCACTATATTGAAACAGTGCAGAAAGATGAGGTCTTCTACTCCCATAAAGAGTGACAGTCTTGGAAACCCACAGGGGCAGTTCTGCCCTGTCCTGTAGGGTCACTGAGTCAGCATTGACTCCATGACAGTGAGTTTGGTCTTCTTGTTTATATGTAAACAAAAAGTGGCAAACAAGCATAGGAAAGGATGCTCAACACAGCATCTGTCTTCAGGAAATTGTGACTTCAAATTATAGACACCGCTACATAGTTACTGTTAGCTGCCTTCAGGTGACCCAATGTCACCGGAAAGGATATGTCACCTGCTCCAACCCCGTCTCCATGACCAGTTGTGGGTCAGACAACTGGGAGTTGGAGGGTTTTCACTAGCTGATTTTCAGAAGTCAAACACAAGGCCATTGTTTCTAGCCCATCGTAGTCTGGAAGCTCCACCGGCAACCCGTTCAGCATCAGAACCACAAACAAGCGTCCACTGACAGGTGGGCTGTGGCTGTGTCTCCAGGGGAGACACAGGCCAGGAACCGAACCTGGGTCCTACAGCACAGACAGTGAGCATTCTACCACGGAACCACCAGTGTGCCCTACTCGTCTGTAGGTGCTGTGGGTAAGCCATCAGTGCATTCTCCACTCATACTGACCGCAGGAGACAGTAGAGCTGCCCCACTGGGTTTGCGAAATGGATAAAATCCCCAAACATTGGTCAATACTGACTGCTGAGGAGGATGTGGAGCAACAGGAAGTACAGTGGTGAGCTGAAAGCCTATGTCCACTCAGAAGCCCACACACCTTAGCTCTCCAGGGCTGCTATGAACAGAAATTTATTTTCTCGCAGATTAGCAGGCTAGAAGTCTGCTTTGGGGCACCAGTTCCAGGGGGAAACTCTCTCTGTTGGTTCCGAAGGAAGAGTCCTTGTCTCCGAGCCTCTGCTTCTGGGCCTTCTTCCCGTGGTGTGGCATCTGCCTTCCCCCACCTCTGCTCCTCTTTAATATCTCAAGAGATGGATTTCAGACACAGCGCACACCAATCCTCTCTTGTTAACATAAAGGAAACTCATCCTTAAACTGGGTCATATCCAGGTACGCCGTTGCTGTTAGATTAAGGTGACCAGACGTCCCGCTTTTGGCGGGACAGTCACGATTTTTGGTGTTTTAAAAAAGTCCCGATTTTTGGAAAGAATGCACAAGCTAGGGAATGGTCTATTTGGTCCATATAGACCAAATTTTTAATCAAGAACCCGCCCCCTGCCCCCCGGTTAATGGTGTCCCGCTTTAAA